CCCGATGCGCATTCTCCACTGTGTAGATATAGCATGGAGGGTAGGTGGTTAAAGCCGGCGCAAGTAAGGATGCCTCTGCGATCGGCTGAGTTAAGTAAAATTCACATAACACCTTAATTAACACATCCAAAATGTGAAACCCATCACCCAAATACCTAAACCCTGTTTCTAGGTTGGCCTGGAGTTCTGCTCAGTAACAAAAAGGGACTGGCGATTCCTCCTCGCACCGTTGCGTGTTTACATTTTGTTGCCGCTTGTACGGTCGATACATCTCCCAAACGTGAGAATCGCAGCTGAACCCCGCAGGCTCTCCCACCATCAGACACTCATCTTCTCCCCTTAATATATCACATTCATTGTTTGGATTTGTTTTAGTCCTTTCATTCTATTTCTCAACGCAGTTCGCTGCCTTCAATGTACTGCCTTGCCCTGCAGCAGACATTCTACCCCGGAGCTTGTTAGCCTCTGTGCCATGCTTACACGGAGGTATTCTTACTTTAGTTTTCTCCCATTAGTTCATCCCAATACAGATTTACTCAAACGTCACCGTCGTCGTGCCAACCAGAACCCTCTCCGATCCTCCATGTTTCTCTAAGTGGCCACTCCCGCGCTGTTTCATGGAGTAATTACATACCTGTCCGCTTAAAGGCAACTATACGGTTTGGGTGCCTCCATTCAGTTTTGTACTAGATAATGGGAATTCTGCGGCGCATTGCAGGCGAACTGCCGCCAAAAGAGTCGGACCCACATGAGGTCTCAGGACAAGGAACAGATCCCGCACCAGAGGACACAGACAAAAGTGACATCGTTGCCAAGGCAGGTGGAACTTCTCTTTCTAAGAGGTACCGTGGAAAATGGGCTCAAGTGACCAAGGCTGTAGTTGCTGCTGTTGCAGTGATAGTGGTGTGTGGGGCTCGTTACATTATCTCGGGAAGGTTCCCATCGTACCTGAAGATTTCACAGCTGCGAGTAGACGATGCCTCACGGCTACCACTGGACGATGCGAGCATGCAGAAGTACATGGATGATTTCAATGAAGCAGCAGAGGAGATGGAAGAGGCTTTTTCCTCAGGAGCTGCCATGCGGCAACCGTTTCAACTACACTTCACACCGTCGCTTGAGGATGGTCAAAGTCTTCCGGGAGACCCTCTGGAGATTATCAGAGACCACGTTGCCAAAATGCAAAAATGCAAAGTTCCATCTGCTTCTTCTCCGCAGGCGCGGCGGGACTTCGCCCAACACTTGCAGCTATTACGCAGTATATGCCGAACAGCGGCGCTTCGCCTCCATGATTTGGAATTGTACATCACTGTGAGTCAGAATTTAGGCGTGGCGAATCCTTTTCTTGTACCTGCCCGCGACGAAGATAATAGTGACAGTGATCCTCCTATAGACTTTGAAGAAGTGCCAGAAAGCGACTGGGCAGCTTCTGACTTTTTGCAATCATTTGGGTTGTATGCGGGTGGTACACGGCGAGTAAATGAAACCTTAGCTGGCAAACTTAGAGGGTTGTTGGCGATTGGAAAGAGATATAACGACGGCAACTTGAGGGCCCGATATTACTTCACGACATTCCTTCAACCGTTTGCAGGAGACGGCGCTTTCAACCCCGCTCATGTCCCTGCTGATCACCAGATCCCATACAATGGAAAGCCATTTCGAACAGGAGCTCTCGCAAAAGCAGCTGCGCATATATTCCGTGAATCCGACGCCACTAGGGATTACGCATACATACGAAAGCTGAATCAAATTGCAGATAATTGGACGAACGCAGATGTAGTGGCGGCTGTGAAGCGACAAGAGAAAGAAGATGCGGACAATGCTCAAACCAGGCTGAAGGCTAAGAGAGAGCTTATGGGACGGCTGCTAAGGCAAGGCATAGCGAAGGATGACCTGGTGATGATTGCGTTATTCCTTTTATAGTCTATGAGCTGACTTTATTCTGCGCTGTGCTGAGTGACACCACTTTTCGTGCGGCAGGGGTCTGCATCCGTGTTGTCCGGCCTCGTTACAGTTGCTGCTGTAGCTAGACAGTTGAACGCAGTTTTGTATTTAACCCGTTTTTTTGTGGGATCTCCGCCCAAAAGTAAGGGTGCACCCAACTATCAGTGAGGCAAGATTTCTTTTTGTCATCATGACAAGCCAGATTGCAGAACGGGAATAAAACCCCGTTTCCGAGGAAGACGAACCCACCCCGGTTTCTGCATATCCCTTGTCAGCGACAATTTGTTTGCGCTGCGCTGGACTGTACTATGGATGATCCAGCGAATCGAGGTGCAGGAATAACAGCGTAGAACGCTGGATTACTGCGCAGATTGTATTTAACAACTAAATGTACGAAAATTTTATTCGATGTAGAGACGTCCATGGGTGTTAGAGTTTTCTGTTGGTGCTAGAAAGGCGAGGCGGATAACAGACGGGAGCATCAGATATGTTAGAACGATGCTGCAGAAAAAGCATACCGCACAAACTGGTGAAGGAATTCAAAGGGTACCTAAACGCCAGTAAGTCCCCGAATCTCCGAGAAATTGCGTTCATTCGTGCATTTGCGCTTAAGGCTGATCCGCTCCATCAATCTGTGGCATATCCCACGCGGCGTCGCCATACACGCATTCTCCGCTGTGTACATATAGCATGGAGGCCAGGTGGCTAAATCTAGTCGGTGACACTGCATTTGGGTTGTTCTAGTGGATCTATTACGCATGCTGGATTCCCCATTCTCCCTCTTAGATGGAAATACACATTTAATAATTAGGAACACGATTTCATAATTTGGAACACGATTTACCGAGTATTAACTTGACAATAGGAATAGGCACTCAGCAACTAGAGCAATCGTGTAGACCTAGAGACCAGCCACGGTGCAGCTGTTGCCGACTGATTTCGGCGGACAAAGGCGGTCGCAGGAGTCGCTCCAAATGCCCGTAGGGGCCTTCAAGGTGTCTCCTCAGGCTTTCTATTTTTCGCTTGTTCATCGACTGAACACCTCTCGGATCATGAGATTTAAATTATATTCAACGTATTGTCTTGTTGTCTAGTGCCCCGTCGGGCCTTTCTTGCTTTCGTGTCTTGGCGGTGCTAAGAAACGGCGGAGGGGTGTCAGGTCTAACCGTTCGCGTATACTACCCAGCGTTATGGGCTATGCTAACACGGTTCAAACTACTTCGTGTGTTTTGGAATTTACAAATTACAGTGTTTATCCTTTTTGAGGGGTATTTCACCTTATCCTGCCTGCCCTGCTGAACCCCAGGGCATTAGGCTAGGACCGTCGCGAGTGAGGAAGCCTCTGCGACCGGCTAACTTTAGTGAACTTCGCATAATGCCTTTAATACCACGTCCAAAATGTGAAACCCATCACCTAAATACCTAAATACGTTTTCTAAGATGGCCTGGAATTCTGTTCAGCAACGAAAATGGACTGGGGATTCCTCCTCGCCCCCTTGCGTTCGCATTGCGCTGGCGCCAAAAAGGGTCGATGCAACTCCCTAACGAGAATCCCAGCTGAGCCCGCAGGCTCTAGCCACCATCAGACACTCACCTTCCCCATTTAATATATCGCAATTATTGTTTAGATGCGTTTTAGTGCTTTCATTCCACTTCTTAATGCAGTTCTCTGCCGTCAATGCAGTGCCTGTTCCTGCAACAGGCATTCTACCCTGGAGGTTGGTAGCCACTGTGCAATGGATGCACGAAAAGTATTCTTCCTTTCGTTTTTCCGCATTAATTCATCTCAACGCAAGTTTACTCAGCCGTCACCATCGTCCTGCACACTATCTCCGATCCTCTGTGTTGCTCTCAGTGGCCGCTCTGCGCTGTTTCATGACAGATTTAGATATCTATCCGCTTAAAGGCAACTATACGGTTTGGGCGCCTCCATTCAGTTTAGTATTAGACAATGGGAATTCTGCGGCGCATTGCAGGCGAACTGCCGCCACAAACTTCGGACCCACCCGAGGTGACAGGGCAGGGAACAGATCCCGCCCCCGAGAATACAGACAACAGTGACATCGTTGTCAAGGCAGGTGGAGCTTCTCTTTCTAAGAGGGGCCGTGGAAAAAGGCTTCTAGTGACTAAGGCTGTAATTGCTGCTGTTGCAATGATAGTGGTGTGGGGGGCTCGTTACATTATGTCAGGAAGATCAATATCGTACCTGAAGGCGTCACAGATGGGACTAGGCGAAGTGCCGCAGCCGTCACAGGGCGATGCGCCACGGCTACTGCTGGACGATGTGAGCATGCGGAAGTATATGAACGACCTCCATGAAGCAGCAGACGAAATGGAAAAGGTTTTCTCCTCAGCAATGAGCGTGCGTCAAGATTTTCAACTACACTTCACACCGTCGCTTGAGGATGGTCAAAATCTCCTGGGAGACCCTCTGGCGGTGATCAAAAACCACGTTGCCAAGATGCAAAAATGCAAAGTTCCATCTGCTTCTTCTCCGCAGGCACGGCGAGACTTCGCCCAACACCTGCAGCTACTACGCAGCATTTGCCGGGCAGCCACGCTTCGCGTCAAGCAATTAATGTGGTTCTACTCTGAGAATCAGCAATTCGGTGAGACACTGCCTTTTTCTGGTGACGGCGAACCAAGTAGTTCCGATCCTGTCGAAGATTTTGATGAGGGGGAAGAAGTAGGTTGGTCTGCATCTGGCTTCTTGGAGGATTATGGGCTGTTTGGTGGTGATGGTGTGCGAGGGGTAAACGTACCCGTTGCTCGCAGGCTACAGTTGTTGTTGGATATTGGGAAGAGATATAACGACGCCAACTTAAACGTCCGATATTATTTCATGGAATTTCTTCAACCGTTTGAAGGAGACGGCGCTTTCGATCCCGCTCATGCCCCTGCTGAACACCAGATCCCATACACTGGGAAGCCATTCCGAACGGGAGCTCTCGCACAAGCAGCTGCACATATATTCCGTGGATCCGACGCCACTACGAAGTACGCATATATACAAAAGCTGAACCAAATTGCAGATAATTGGACGAACAAAGCAGTAGTGGCGGCTGCGAATGAACAAGAGAAGCAAAATGCGGACAATGCGCAAAACAGGCTGGAGACTAAGAGGGAACTTATGCGACGGCTGCTAAGGCAAGGCATACAGAAGGATGATCTGGTGATGATTGCATTATTTCTTTTGTAGTCTATGGGCTGATTTTTTTTTACGCGTTCTGCCAGGTAACACTACTTTTCGTGCGGCAGGGGTCCGCATCCGTTGTGTCCGGCCTCGTTACAGTTGCTGCTGTAGCTAGAAGTTAAACGCAGTCTTGTATTTAACCCGTTTTTTTGTGGGATCTCCGCCTAGAACGAAGGGTGCACCCAACTATCAGTGAGGCAAGACTTCTTTTTGGTCTCATGAGAACTCAGACTGCAGAACGGGAATAACACCCCGTTTCTGAGGAAGACGAACCCACCCCGGTTTCTGCATATCCCTTGTCAGCGATAATTTGTTTTTGCTGCGCCGGACTGTACTGTGGATGATCCAGCGAATCCAGCTGCAGGAATAACAGCGTAGAACGCTGGATTACTGAGCAGACTGTATTTGGGAACTGAATGTACAAAGATTTTATTCAATGTAGAGACATCCGTGGGTGTTAGAGTTTTCTGTTGGTGCTAGAAAGGCAAGGCGCATAGCAGACGGGAGCATCAGACATGTTAGGACAATACTGCGGAAAAAACATACCGCACCGACTGGTAGAGGAATTCAAAGGGTACCTAAACACCAGTAGGTCCCCGGAACTTCGCCTAGTTAGCTTCACCCGTTTATTCGCACTTAAGGCCTATCCGCCCAATTAATTTGTGGCATATCCTCGGGGCGTTGGCCGACACGCATTCTCCACTGTGTAGATAATAGCATGGGGGTTAGGTGACTACAGCCGCCGCAAGTGAGGAAGCTTCTGCGACCGGGTAGCTTTATTGAATTTGGAATAACGCCTTAAATAACACGTCCAAAACATGTAACCCCACCTCCCAAATACCTAACGCCTGTTTCTAAGACAGCCTGGTGTTCTGTTCAGTAACGAAAAAGGACTGGGGATTCCGCCTCGCCCTTTAGCATTCGCATGGCGCTGCCGCTTGTAGGGTCGATGCAACTCCCAAACATGAGAATCGCAGCTGAGCCCGCAGGCTCTAGCCACCACCAGACACTCATCTTCTCCACTTAATATATCGCATTTATTGTTTAGATGCGTTTTAGTGCTTTCACTCCACCTTCTAACGCAGTTTTCTGCCGTCAATGTAGTGCCTGTTCCTGCAACAGGCATTCTACCCTGGAGGTTGGTAGCCACTGTGCAATGGTTGCACGAACAGTATTCTTCCTCTCGTTTTTCTCCATTGATTCATCTAAACATAAATTTACTCAACCGTCACCATCGTCCTGCACACAAGAACCATCTCCGATCCTCTGTGTTGCTCTGAGTGGCCGCTCTGCGCTGTTTCATGAAAGATTTAGATATATATCCGCTTAAATGCAAATGTAGGGTTTGGGCGCCACCATTCAGTTTTGTATTAGACAATGGGAATTCTCCGGCGCATTGCAGGCGACCTGCCGGCACAAACTTCAGGCCCACCCGTGGTGGCAGGGGAAGGAACAGATCCCGCCCCCGAGAACACAGACAACAGTGACATCGTTGTCAAGGCAGGTGGAGCTTCTCTTTTTGAGAGGGGCCGTGGGAAAAGGCCTCTAGTGACTAAGGCTGTAATTGCTGCTTTTGCAGTGATAGTGTTGTGGGGAGCTCGTTACATTATGTCAGGAAGGTTAATATCGGACCTGAAGACGTCGAAGCTGGGGCTAGAGGATGTCTCACAGCAACCAGTAGAAAATGTGTCACAGCAGTCACTAGACGATGTGTCACAGCCGTCACCGGACGATGCATCAGAGCAACCAATAGACGATGTGAGCATGCAGAAGTACATTAAAGACTTCAATGAAGCAGCGAAGGAGATGGAAAGGGCTTTCCCCTCAGAATCGAGCGTGCGTCAAGCTTTTCAACTACACTTCACACCGTCGCTTGAGGATGGTCAAAATCTCCCGGGAGACCCTCTGGCGGTCATCAAAGACCACGTTGCCAAGATGGAAAAGTGCGAAATTCCATCTGCTTCTTCTCCGCAGGCACGGCTGGACTTCGTCCAACACCTTCAGCTATTACGCAGCATTTGTCGCACAGTGGCTCTTCGCTTCAAGGAGTTGGAATTGTTCGACAGTCTGAATCAGCATTTAGGCGTGGCGAATCCGTTTCTTGTTTCTGGCGGCGACGAGGATTATAGTGACAGTCATGCTCCTATAGACAATGAAATAGTGAAGGAAGACGACTGGGCAGCTTCTGGCGACGAGGATTATAGT